TGCTTATGTGGTGCTGAGGAATCGAACCCAGGGCCTCATGCATGCAAGGCAAGCACTCTACCACTGAGCCATCTTCCCAGCCCCTATATTTGTATATTTCTGACGTTTGATCTCTCACTCACTGGCAGTCTTGAAGGTAAGGGTGGCATGGGTTGACAGAAACCTTGGTAGATTTACCAGTTCTCAAGGAAAGTCTGCTCATGGCTGGCAAAAGGGACACTCTGGTGATAAAACACTCAGAGCGCAACCCCAAGCAATTCCAGCCACTGGCTCATAATCAAATGTGTTTCCCTAGGCCATTCCGTTCCCTGGCTTTCTCAACATTCTTTGTTAATCTGAAATTAAGGATTGTGTGTTTTCCCTGTGATCCCAACAACACAGAGAAGCCTGAAATAGACAGATTAAGGGCCAGACTGGTGAGGGCTTTGTTAGGAAATGAGACCCTATCTCAAAAATAACCAATAAAAAAGAGGACCAGAGGTGTGGCTCAAATGGCAGAGTACCTCTCTGACAAGTATAAGGCCCTGACTTCAAACCCCATATCCCTTGCCAAAAAAGAATTGTGTGTTTGTTTAATATACAACTAATTAATCAACCAATTGAGTAATTCTCATAGTTTAACAATATGGGAGGTAATATTTTAAAGAAAAAAAAAAGAATTGAAAAGATGAATTACATTCAAAGTTACAGTGACAAGTTTTTTTTTAATCTTAATTCTGGAATTAAAGAAAGCACACGTATTTAGAGTAAATGCTACTTATTGATTCCCTTTCCTGGTTCTCTTAGGAGAAGGGGCTTAAAGGTCATAGTTTCTTTACCAACCTCCTGTTAAGCTACCAGCCATCTCCAGTCAGGTATCATCTGCTTTTTTCTGTACAATCTGAGTTCCCTGTGCTACACATCCACCAACAGCAAGTACCTGGCCATTGTTTGATTGTTATTCCCTTGTCAGAACAAGGGAAGAGACAGAGAAGAAAACTTCCCAAAAACGTTTTCTGAGAAGAACAGGTTTGCTAGGTATATTGGGTCCAATATAACTACATAACCACTGTGTGCATTCTACACCCCCCCACACAGTGCTTGTGCAAACTATTAGATTGTGCTAATCTGTGTTCGTTTATACAGCCAGCCACTAAACTAATATGAAGCACCTGCCATGAATTGGGCATTTAATAGGGACTGAAAGAGAATGACTGTTAAACCAGAATTTTACCCTAAGGTAAGCCTAGCTACTCAGAGGACTGAGACTTTCCTAGACAGGAAAGTCAGTGAGTCTCTTACCTCCAGTTCACCACTAAAAAGCTGGGAATGGAGCTGTGGTTCAGGTGGTAGAGAGCCAACCTGGAATAAGGAAGATTGTGGGCAGTGCCCAGGCTCTGCGTTCAAGCTGCTGTAAGCTACTTTTTAGATTGTACTGAGAGCACTTAACCTTAGTCTATAGAAAATACGTGAGAGTCTATAGCTAGAGTTAAGAAGTGTTACATTCTCTGAGAATATTGTAATCTCATAGTCTCATGGGTAGATAAAATGATTGTCTTACCAGGTCTGTTTGTTTTTCAGTGACACTTTTCTTACAAAGGTTTATAAGGTGTCAGAATCAGGTCACTTGTTTCCTTGCTGGTCTTGGTCTGAGAACATGAGCATTTCTTCTTTATTCTTGTGGGTTTTTCTTTCTTTCCTACATTCCTACATGGTTAAAAATGTGAGAATGATTCAAGTTAAGACTTGTTAGTCCCCCAGCCCAACTCTTTTATTCTATATAAATGTCCTTATAAAGCCCCTTACTCATCTTTTTTTTTTTAATTCGGGGCTGATTGCAGATATATAAATACAGGAAATACATCTATAATTTTTACCTTTTAGTATTTCTAGAAGGATTTGCAGGGCGAGGGGCCGTATTTGGTTTCAAAATTAGAGTTTGAATAGGGTGTTCTACCACTTGAACCACAGCTTCCATCCCTCTGTGCTTGGGCTGTTTTCCCTTGTGCCTGCACTGGGGCTTGAACTCAGGACCTCAGTCTCTCACTTGGCTTTTTTGCTTAAGGCTAGCATTCTGTCACTTGAGCCACACATCTGCCTCTGGCTTTTTAGTGGTTAATCGAAGAGACAGATTGTTTCCCGGGGCCACTTTCAAACTGTGATCCTCAGACCTTAGCCTCCCAAGTTGCTAGAATTACAGGCATAAGCCATCAGTGCCTGGCTTTGCTTTAGTTATTTTCCAGGTAGTATTTCTTACTTTTTGCCTTGGCCAACCTGGGACTGGAATGCTGTCTGCCCCAATCTCCCAAGTAGCTAGGATCAAAGGCCTGTGTCACTGTGTCTGCCTTTGGGTGTAGAGTCTGTTCAGAGGTATTTTTATCTTCAGTGTGCACTTTTCTTTAAAAAATTGACAATATGGGGCTGGGAAGGTGGCTCAGTGGTAGAGCGCTTGCCTTGCATGCCTGAGGCCCTGGGTTCGATTCCTCAGCACCACATAAGCAAAAAGAAAATGTCGGAAGTGGCGCTGTGGCTCAAGTGGTAGAGGGCTAGCCTTGAGCTGAGGGCCCAGAGTTCAGGCGCCACGACCGGACCCCCCCCCCAAAAAAAAAAGACAATATGAAATGTCAAATATTATAGAATTTATTTGGCAGTAGCATTCCAAAAGAATTTCTAACTAGGTTGAAAATGATCTGTGTGAGAGAGGGCATGGGAAAAAGATTGGGAGAGAAATGTACTCATCACCTGACTCATATCTCTTTGTACATCACCTTTAGAATAACAATTGAAAAATAAATAAAAGGGAAAAAAAGATAACTTCAGAGTCATAGCAAAGCTCAGTATATCCTCAGCCACAGCTCAGTTCGCTTTGGTGCTTTTTGGTCCATTTTAAAGGATGAATTTGGAAGCTTCATCACTATCCATCTAATCAGGAAGGATTTATCCTTTTGGATAATTGAGAAGGTTTCCTCTTCAGGGCCCAAACTCTGCCTCTCAACACTCTGAACCTGAACTCTCCTGCTTGCCAGAAAGAGCAGATCTCATGAGAAAATCCAAATGCTTTTCACACGCAGCAGTGCAAGTGTCGTTTTCCCTTAAATCCCCATGCCTGTGGCTCTAATGAAACGTCTTTTATATGGTGGTAAGATGGACAAAATATTCACATTGTTGTGAAGCCATCACGCCATCCTTCTCTAGAACTTTCTCATCTATCTGACATTCTGAACCCATTCAACACAAACTCCCCCATTCGCCCTTTACTGAACTCTCCAGCGTAGCAAGAAGGGACCCTCTGTTTCAGCAGAAAACAGTGAGCTCGTTTCAATGAGGTTGTGGAGTTCTGCTCTGTTAGAACAAGGGACAGCCAGAGAGCCACCACTCTGCTTTGTGTGCCAAATCTTTAGTGCCTACTGTGTGAATTACATTAAAACCTGCTGAGATTTTGCTTTTGTTGAAACTTGGAAACATCTGCTCCGAGTCTAGGTCCTTGCTTAGTTGAGCTGATCATTGTTCTTGATGCTCTGACTCAGCTGCACTCTAGCTTGCTCTGTGAGGAGGGGGTTCAGCCATTGGTGACAGGCCACAGGGGCAGTTTCCTCTCCATGTCTCTTCAGTGGCTGTGGACATTCTGGTGGGGCGGAGGGGCGAGGAGGGGAAGTCCTCAAAGTCCGTGGCCTTCTTGGTAGACCTGGAGATCTGCACTTAGTAGGTACACCCAACCTGTGCACTGCCTACAGGTTTGTCACTTGGCAGAATGTCCTAAGGCCAAGATTAGAGAGATGATGGTGAGGAGAACATGAATCGGGAAGTACTCAACTAGGTGACATGAATGAAACACCTTCCACAGTCCATAGTCCCCTTGCTGGTACTTGGCCAAAAATCTGTTTTATGATAAATATATTCATTGGACATTTGATCCAAACAATAAGATTCGTTGGCCGATAGCAACTGCTTTAAGTCCTTACGATGGTTTACATTTCTGGATTCCTCTACAGCTTTTTGGCAAGCCTAAAAATGCCACAACTTGGCCAAAGACTAAAGCTTCTGACAAGTGAAATATTCTACTATGTGGGTTCCCTCGCACCCCCACATACACACATGCACAGAAACAAGAATTTGTACCTGTTGGAATAGGGTAAACACAATATCCCAAACCAAAAGAGGTCTTGATTGGCTCTTCCAGCACCCCGTTCCCCACTTCAAGTGATCCCAGACACATTGCTGGGGCACATTAGTCAATCTACCATCCTGCATCTCTCTTCAGGAAAAAGAACAGTCTTGAATGAATTCAAACTAATTTTACTTTGAAGATTTCATGTTGCAGCTTTCTGTCCCACCCCAACTCCCTCCCACAAAGTAACTTGTCAGTCCCAAATAAAACTTGAGACAATCCCATCCTCCAGATAAGAAAAGCCCCATCCAACCAACCTGCCACTTCAGACTTGGAGCTACCATTTTCTTATTTAAATTCTACTTTAGACAGGTCTTAATATGCAAGACATGATGAAGCCAAATTAAATCTAAAGAATTAGGATGAAGTGCTTGTTACTTTATGGGAAATAGCTTACATGTTTAGATAGTGCGTCAGACTGATGTTTTTTGTGATAGCTAAGAGACCTGTGACCAAGATCTTCTCAATTATGAACTTCTGCCTTCTTTCCACCTTGACAAAGTTGAATTAACAAGGGTATTTCCATGATTGCCTACAGAGGGAAGAGAGACACAGAACTGTAATCATACAGAAGTGGTGATCTTGACAGGCAGGCTGAAATAACACAGTTTAACACAAAGATCCAGAGTCTCTGGACACCAGTTTGGGCTCTTAGAGCACACACACGAGAGATACAATAAAAATCAAGCTTCTTGTGAGAGAGAAGCTGCCAATGGGAATTGTATAATCGGTTCAGAAATGTAGCAACTGGCAACTTAGCTATTCTGTTCTAGACGGTCACGCCTGCTTAATAATTCAGTAGGGAAAGAAAGGAGTAGCTCTTGGTAACTGGAATAGAGGGTAGCACTTATGGATGGTAACCAAAATCATCAGAACCAACCGTGGAAAACTTACTAGCGGTCTTTGTCCTTGTCTAACGCTAAGAATGGTGGGAAATCACATGGCTTCTCAGGGGCAAGAGAGGCATAAGCAGTAGTAGTTCCTTTTGTGCCTATCGAAATTGTGAAATAAGAATCTTGGAGTCCTTTTTGTTGTATACAAAGAAGTCATGTTTGTGAAGGATGCTGTCGATAACCTGAGGTGCTGAGGAAGAAAGATGTATCTATGTGTTTCTGCTCCATAACCCTATGTCAATTCTTTTTTTCTTTTCTAAATTAAATCTTATTGGTAATGGAACTGTACATCAATGTTCTCTATTCTGTCTCTTTCAGAATCAGGAAGGGAAGCCATTGCAAAGACAGAGCATCTACCTACTTGAGTATAATTCTAGCTTCTATTATATACGTTCCCTACCTCACATCAGGTGTAGTCTTTGTTTTCTACACAGGGATATTATTAGACATTTTTTCAATAGCACCTGGAGAGCCTTTTTACAGTTCATTTCATAAAATGAAAACGATTGCATTTCCATTTTTCCTCTCTTGACTCATTGGTAGAAAATGCGTTCTTTCCCCTCATCCGTAGGTGTGTACGGAAGATGGCTTTAGTGTCTCCTGGCCCATTATTACCTACATTTTGTGAGGTGCTCCCCAAGACACACATTTGAGGGATACGTGTTTGGTTATAGGCCAAAGAAAAAACGATGGTTTTATGACTCAAGAGAGACCTAAGCACCGTTTTCTGAGGACTTTTGTTTGCATTCCAGTCAGTTTTGATTAGTAAATGGCCTGAGATAAGCCCTTCTGGCCTCCCTCCAAATAGTTCCAAAGACATGCTTGGTTCCTTTGAGACTTGAATCATTCAGCTGTAACTGTCCATTCCGGAGCCAAAGTTAGTAGAATTTTGTGTCACATACCTTGAAAGAACTATTTGTGGTTGCCTTTAGTGTGTATGAAGAAAGTATATTTTATGTTACTGTAACCCCTTTGTATATCACTTTCATAATAACAAAAACAATTTTAATAAAATAAAGTCCAGGCACCCAGTGGCTCATACCTGTAAACCTAGCCTACTCAGGAGGCTGAGATCTGAGGATTGCGGGTCCAAGCCAGTCTGGGCAAAAATCCCTTTGAGACTCTTATCTGCAATTAATCACTCAAAAACCAAGCTGTGGCTCAAAGTGGTAGAGGACTAGCCTTAAGCAAAAGAGCTCAGGGACAGCACCCAGGCCCTGAGTTTAAGCCCCATGACTGACCCCACCCCAGGGGTAAGAGAATGAAAGTATATTGATTATCCTCTTTAATCTGTAAGGAACTCTAAGCTATACCTCCCATCCATCCCTCTTTAGTTACAAGAGGACACTCTAAAGCAATGAGGATCTTGCCCACATTTTCTTCACCAGGAACACTGGTTTAGCAAACGAGTTGATGTTAGTTTATGATTCAAATCCAGCCTTTCTCTAAAACCTCCAGTTACCAACTCTGGTACAAATCAAGGAGCTCACGTTCATGCTTTTTCTCTTTCATTGTCTTCCAGGAGATACAATCTTCATTATCTTGAGGAAGCAGAAGTTGATCTTCCTGCACTGGTACCACCACATCACTGTGCTCCTGTACTCTTGGTACTCCTACAAAGACATGGTGGCCGGGGGTGGTTGGTTCATGACGATGAACTATGGCGTGCATGCCGTGATGTACACTTACTATGCCTTGAGGGCTGCGGGTTTCCGTGTCTCTCGGAAGTTTGCCATGTTCATCACCTTGTCCCAGATCACTCAGATGCTCATGGGCTGTGTGATTAACTACCTAGTCTTCTCCTGGATGCAGCATGACCAGTGTTACTCTCACTTTCAGAACATCTTCTGGTCCTCACTCATGTACCTCAGCTACTTCGTACTCTTCTGCCATTTCTTCTTTGAGGCCTACATCGGCAAAATGAGGAAAACAACCAAGGCTGAATAGTGGTGGAACTGAGGAGGCAGCCATAGCTCAGGGTCATCAAGTAAAAAAAAAAAACAAAAACAAAAATGAAACAAAAAAAAAACAAACAAAAAAAACCAACCAGACAAAAGAAAATGGCACAAGGAAATATCACATATGGTGCAGCTAAAACAAAACAACATACAAGCAGACACACAAACCCAAGCAGCGTGAGAATAATTAGGTTGACCTAACCCAGTAAGTTTATGACCCTTTTTTTGGGGTGAGGACTCACTGAGTACCCCCTCTATCTCAAAGCACTGCTGCTGGGGGCGGGCAAGGTCTCCCCCCCCCCACTTTTAATCTGTCAACCCTAGGATAAATGTAAGCAAAAGGGAGCCAGAGGCAGAAAGACTAATAGAAAGCAAGCAAAGGCTATTAACACCATATGAAGAAGGAAAAAAAAGGTCTTTACTAAGTGTTGTATTTCTCTAAGGATGGAAGAATTGTACTTTAAAACTGTGCGAGCACACACACACACACAATCTTTCTAATATTTTTCAACATGAACCTGAAGCCCATAGAAATGATAACAGTGGAAGATACACAGGGTTTATATCTAGAATAAATATGCTTTTTGCAGAAATTAAAGCCTTTTAAGAAAATTTAGCTGTTGTAGCTTCCTGAGAAAAGATGTCTTAATCTTTTTTTTCTCTCTTTTAATTTCAACTGAGGAGAAAAAAAAACCCCAAATCAACATTTCTCTCTCACTGAAGAAAAGCCTCAGGCTAATGAATTTGCCATAACTAAACAGGGCACAATAGTTTTCCACGGTTCTTTTTTCCTTTTCTTTTCTGGAAGGATGGAAACAATTCAGCCTTGGTCCTAAAGGAATCTCTCCACTACAGAGCATTGCTTGTCATCAAATGGTAATATTTACTCTTTATTAAATTAAAGTTAGCATTTTTGCCTTTGTTCCATTGCCCCAGACTTGAGCAGGAGAGTAAATACAATTGAATCGAAGCAATGAAAGTGCAAGCAATTAACTTGAAAATGGAACCCTTGCTATCCATACAAAGGCTCAGCACATTGCCACTGGAGCTGAGTAAGGGACATAGCTGAAGATCCATCCACTAAACTGGAAATATATGTACACCCGCCCTAGTTGACTTTACATGTATTCCTGACTTTCCAAATGAAGCCCTATGGAACAAACTATGCTTTTCTATATTTTTGTGACTTTCAAGAAGAAATCTGCAGAGCTCTCTGCCTGATTTTGGATGAACACTGTGGTTCTGCATCTGCATTTGCTCCCCAAGCAATGCAGAGGTGTTTAAAGTGCCCTCTGCTGGCCGAGTGGAGATACTTCAACAAATCCTTCATGACAAGTGTGGCTAAAAGCAATGGACAACAAACAGCTCCCCGCCCACCATAGATTAATTCCTCACATCCGAAATGATATCAGAGTACTCATCCTATTTTTGGGTAAACCAGAAGATATCCTTTCTGCTTCAAGTCGGCTTCAGAAGTTTTTGTTTGTTTGTTTGTTTTAAGGGGACTTGTTGCTCTGGAACTCAGAAAATCAATTTACTAAGAGCCATATTCTTTAAGAGAAAAAAAATTAAAAAGCTAGATAATATTAAGTGTAATATTTCAGTCCTCTACAAGCCAAATAAATGTGTCAACATTCCTAGTATTTCAAAGAAGCAATTATGTAAAGTTGTTCAGTGTGATATCATAGTATTTCTAATTGGTTAAGTAGCTTAATGATTAGGCTTGCTAGATGAAAAGATTAGAGGTTACTTCAGTGCATAGATTATACACAGATAACCACACATATGTACACACAAATGTGGGATACACTGAACTTCAAAGCCCAAACGAATAGTAACACATTTTCTGGCTAGCAGAAACTGTCGTTTTATGTTTCTTGCTTTATTTGATAGTGTACAGTCAAAGGGATTTTTTTTCCAGATTATTTTTATATTATTTTAGCTTTAATTGTGCCATCATTCGTGACACGGCTGTTGTGCTTTTCTGTCAGAGATGGCAAGGGCTATGTCAGCATCTTGTTTCCGTGTGGAATTTTAAAGAGAATAAAGTTTTATTCCATTCTGTGTGAATGGCTGAACTGGTGGAGCAAGAATCCATGCTAATCAAGCCATGACCGAAAGGACTGGGGAGAGAGCTCTTGTGCCTGCATTAAGTGAGTGTGAACAGTTTCGTATGGTGTCTTGGTGTTGGTTTGTACATGAGATAATTGCTTGACCGGAGGGATGTGTCTTTATTAGGGCAAAGGTAGGTGTGCTGTAATAACTAAGCTGCAAATGTTCTTTTGAGCTTTGCAAACACTTGATTCTGTGCAGTACATCTCCTCTCATAGTAGAAAATAAACAGAATAATCAAAATGAGAAAAGGCCCACATACTAATTCCCTTGAGTTTCACTGAAAGACCAGCAAGAAGCTCACCTGATGGTTGATTATTTAATTCAATGACTTATGGTAGGAGCTATACTACAATATGGAAATGAGCCCCCTGGTCCCCCTTCCCCCCCAAAAAAAGGGACTAAATCAAGTTTCCAGAAGCATTTTCATTTCTATGTTGGGGTCATGCTGTCATTTGAAAACAACTTAAAATCTTTTGTCTGCAGGTTGAATGGTCTGGTAAGTTGTTTTTAAACTAGCTAAATATATCTTAAAAGAATTTTTGATAGTTATCATGGGGGGGGGGAGCCACACATTTAAAAACAGAATTCTGGTCTGACAGGTTCAGTATACTGTTTTTAACATCTCGCTTAGCTACTTTAATTACATTGAGATAAGAGGCCGGATCCCTGGCCCATGACACATCTGAAACATACCAGACAATTGACTGCCACAGAATATCCTGCTGTCAGTGAACATTCCAGAAAAACCTGGGCAGACAAGTTTAGAGCTGCCCCCACTAAGCTGTAATAGGTTATCTTTTCTATTAGAAAATTCCCACTGCATTCCAGTCCCAGAGTGGCAAAAACATTCCTTTATTAGTGAGAACAATATCTTGCTACATATATATGCATATATATATATATGTTTAATACACTAGGTCTGAGCTTCAACTACATGAGTTTGCAAAGAAATTCTAGCATAAAACACTCCCCGGTTTTTGTTGCTTATAACAATGATTGCATATTTATTGTATTTATATCCAATGCCAGGCAAAAGTATTCAATTAAAATCATGGGTTATGGTTCTTATTGCAAGTAACTTATTCTCTTTTTTATTTTTTCTAATCATACCTCACTGTAAAAATTAGGGGCAGGGGAGGGACACAGATGTGTGGGGCCTCTCAATTTACATGAAGAGACTTGATTAGTCTTGGTTCATCTTGGCTCAGCCAGACAATTCAGGTGGCCAGTTTTTGTAGAATGAATATTCTGCAACAACTAAGATTCTTAGGATGCAAATGTTCCAAGGGGAATAAATCTAGGAAAGAAACTCATTTTTTAAAATAAATAATCACATGTAGCATTTTCATGATAAGCTGTCACATCAGAGTCTTACATGGGAGTCGAATGTTCTAGAAGTTTGGCTCTGTTCCCAACCTGCTAAATGTCCTGGGAGAGAGAGCATACTCAAGTTACTGTCTTTCCCTTACTCTGACAGAGCAGGCTCTTACTCAGAGAGCCTGGCACACAAGACAAGTCAGTTAGCTACCCCACGCTGGGGATTCAAATTTGGATGGTGATTTCTTTTAATACAGCTGTTAGATTGGCCAGCTGCTGGTTGACTGAGATGCTAATAGAGTGGACCTCATCTTTCAGAGTTCAGAGCTTTAAGTTTGTATGGGCATGGGGATGGCCAAGACACCTCAAACGATATTCAGCCTGCCTAACAAGTCAGATTGGATGAAAATACTATGACAAAAGTCCATAACTTTTTCCAGTAGTCCAAAATGTCTTTTTTTAAAAAAATCATAGTTTGCTCTCAACTTCAGATAACGGTCGAGTGGGTGTCCCTGAGTGAGTCACTGTCCCCTGTCCCGTTCAAAAAATGTATGTACCTCTGCCCCAGGTACATTGCCATTGGGCGGAGCTTTGATGAGAGCAGATGGCATTTGGCCTGTCATGCAGTGCACCTGCAAATGGCAGCTGATGGGGGCACTGGTGGCCTGTCATCCACTTCTCAATAGGACACGCAAGGTCCCAGGCTGCCAATGAACCAGCATTGTCTGCTGGTACCCAGTACTGACAAACGTATCCATGCACTTCAAACATCTACCTTCCTCGATGACTATAGTTAAGAATATCTGCCATGTAGCAGGTTCTATAGCTGGAGAAGACAGGTGTGAGTGTGCCACTGGGAACATCCAGGGCATGCATAAGCCTTTAGAATCATTAAGTTACTTTCTTCATCCTCCGATAATCTTGAAAGTTTAGGGAGCAGAGGAGGGGCCTCCCCAGACATAATGCTTTTCAAGGAAGTCACCTAAGTTGCTGTAGCAGTAAGGAGAAGTCTGGGGAGATCTTGGAAACAGCTCTGCCATTGAGGTCAGGCAGGTGCAAGTGTCAGATTTATCTCACCGGAAGTGCACGCCCACAACTGCACTGTGGTATCGTGGAGTTAACTGGTTAGTTGAAAAGCTAGTCCCATCAAGACCAAGCCCCATTGGCAACCCATTAAGGACACACAGAAAGGTCATGTTGGTATTTAAATGCTCTCGTTTTCCTAGTGTTTGGCGGCATGTGGAACTTTCTCCCAGTGGACAAAAATACAATCAAGAAGTAGCTTGTTAGAGCTTCCGGTCAAGTGGTCTTGTTGGTGTCAGACAAGTGCTGGGCTGGGAATGTCTAGGCCCCAGGTTGCTTTCTGCTTAACTTGGAAGCCACTGGAAGGTGTTGCTTCTTGAGGGCCCCTGAGCCTGTGTCCAGATGGAAACCCACCCATCCATGCCTCTCAAAGCAAATCACAGCAATGTTGGAACTGTTCTTTTCAAGTGCTTATTTCACAACATAAAAAAAAATATTTTTGGTGTATTAAGATTAAAAAAATAAAATCATAACTTTTGATTTAAAAGTCAAACTGTGTATCTGGTATCTTTTATTGATTATTCTGGGCAGTTCAAAGCACCCAGGAAAACAAGCTCTAGAAAGTTATTCCCACTCAGGAGACAGAGAAGTGACTAAAACTGTCCTGCCCCTCCTGTCCCCCCCTTCTCTCCCCCCTCCCCCCCCGCCCCTGGCAGAGCTGGGACCATGGTCCACGCACTGCAGCCGGCTCTTGTAAGGCCCTTTGGAGGTAACATCCTACAAACTATGTGTTTCCCACATGAGTCAGCTGACCTCTTCTGAACAGGCTTAATGGGGCATATAGTACAAATCAGGTCCCAGGTTTATAGATGAGAAGGTATGCTTGTTTAGTTCATGCAAAGGGAAAACATGATCTCAACTTTAATATCTGCATCCAAGCAGTGTGTGTGTGTGTGTGAGACACACACACAAACACGTGTGTGTGAATGCATGTGTCAGTCCTGGGGTTTAAACTCAGGACCTGTGTGCTATCCCTGAACTATTTGCTTAAAGATAGTGCGCTACCACCCACAGCCTTTTATGGTGCAGAGAGGGCTGGGGGAACTTAATTGGAGATAAAAGTCTCATGGCTTTCCTTCCCCAAGCTGTCTTCTGAAACATGATCCTCAGATCTCGGCCTCCTGCATAGCTAGGATTACAGGTGTGAGCAACCAGGGCCTGATTGGAGCAATAATTTTTTTTAAAAAGGTAAACACATAAAAAATTTTTTTTCCAGGGCTGGGAATGTGGCTTAGTGGTAGAGTGCTTGCCTAGCATGTATGAAGCCCTAGGTTCGATTTCCTTGGTGCAGCATCAACAGAAAAAGCCAGACGTGGTGCTGTGTTTGGCTCAAGTGGTAGAGTGCTAGCCTTGAGCACAAAAGCAGTTCAGGGACGGTGCCCAGGCCCTGAGTTTAAGCCCCAAGACTGGCAATAAAATTAATTAATTAATTCCAGGCACCTACACTAAACGTTGCCACATTGCTAACACTTTGAGGCAATCTATATTAGGGGAAATACTTAGCAAGAGCTACGCATGCTTCATAACCTCAGGGCATACCTTGCCAGCTATGGCCAGGGCCAGTTCAATCATTCCATCTTCTCCCTAAAATAACCTGGTTTTCAAGTCCCAATATTTGGTGCATTCCATAGCTAACTTTTGAGATTTCGTGGCTTACATCATTCTTCCTGGCTTTACAGAGTATGATGTCTAACATATAAGAAATAGTACTTTGCCCATGCCATTAGTATTTGAAACCCTAGATCCTGCTATTTAGGGAACTTTTTTGCAGACAAATAACCTGTTTCTCTTTCTCTCTCTCTCTAGCTCTCTCTCTCTCTCCCTCTTCCTCTCTCTCCTCTTTCTCTCTCTCTCCTTTCTCTTTTCTCCCTCATCTTCATATATAGATAGATAATAGTTATAGATTTTGGATTATATATATGTGCATCACTCCCTAGCTTCCAAATACATTGTTAAGATGGAACTTAAAAATGTGGATTTTTTTCTTTTTTTTTTGTAATCTATTTTGTTTCCTTGGGTTAAAATGGAAAACTCATACTGCACACAAAAATACATTAATTTTTTAAGAGGGCGTAATGGGGAAATGTAATACAAAGGACTATACTATCAGGTACCATCTGAAATGAAAAGCTTCAGCAAAGAATAAAGCAATTAAAGGACACAAGCTTTTCTAGCACTGTCTATCCAATAAAATACTGTACTCATGTGATGTCATGTCCAAGAAGTATTCTATAGCAGGTTTCCTATGAAAGAAACCATGGCTGATCAGAATCTCAGTGTTAGCGTAACAGATCACGGTGTGTCTTGGTGTGTGTCTACACCCCTGGTCACAGTGGGTGAACTAATCAATAATGAGCGCAGTGAAGATAACGTGAAGGACTCCACTCTGATCAGCTATCGTTGTTAGATCTGGGACAGAGTCTGATTTTCAGACACTTCTCTCCAACACCAAACTTTGAGGCCCAGCTAAGCACAGTTTCCAGGGGTGAGAACTAGAGAAGTTCCCCTGATCCCATAAAACCAGATCCCACACACTTTGCTGTCTGGCTCTGTCTGTAATGATCTGGAATTAATCAAGGAAGAGATGTTGGACCCTCCTGATCTCAAGAGCACTGCTAATCAGTCATCCTAGTTGGTTTTGGGAGGGGAATTTGTGTGTGTGTGTGTGCACGCACACACACACACAGCCACGCACCCATGCCAGTACTGGGACTTGAACTCAAGGTCTCACACTCCCGATTTTTTGCTTATGGTAGATGCTCTACCACTTCAGCCACACCTCCACTTCCATCCCTTTGTTGGACATTCCTGATTCCTGCCTGGGTAGGCTTCGAACCTTAATTCTTAGATCTCAGCCTCTTGAGGAGCTAGGATTACAGGCATGATCCACTGGTGCCTGGCTAACCATTCTAGTTTTATCCCTTGTTCTTCAAGTCTGGATCTTGAAAACCTCTCTTCCAAAGGCCAGTGGGTGAAAGGCCCTGTACTCCAGGCTAGTACTACTGGGCAACAGTAGGACCTGTGGTGGAGGTGTTTTAGGCCATCTTTTAGGTGTGCCCTGGGAAAGAACATGGCCCCAACTTCTTTCTCTACTTGCTCCCTGTTCATCAAGTGAATCTCATTTGACTCTGTCACAAGCTTTTGTTGCTCCCTCCTGCCCCTACCCCTGCAGATGGCAGAGCACCAACCTTTAGCAAAAGAAGCTCAGGGATAGCACCCAGGCCCTAAGTTCAAGACCCAGGACTAGCATGTGTGCATGCATATGTGCATGCACACACACACACACACACACACACACAAACCCTTTCTCTTTATAAGTTGACACCTTTGGCATTTTAAACTATCCCTTTACGTTCCTCATTGTGCTTCATGTGATAGTTGAAGAAAGACAGCCTGGGATTTTGCCTTCTGCATGTGTTTATGGAGAAAGTATATCCACACTCACTGTGGAAAACAGTGTGGCCTAAGTGTGGCCCACAGAGGACAATGCCTTGGGCCATGCTTCCCCAGCCTCTCTCTTTGGATTCTGTAGTCTTTGATATGTTCAGCCCTCCAGGGTGGAAAGCCCTGTGTTACACTCTGGGAGTTCACACACACAGCTTCCTTTTCTATAGACAACATTAATTCCTTTCATACCAGAGGGCAAATCTGCCCCCCCAGGGTGTATCTCTGCTGTGTTATTTATGAAAACCCGCTCCAGTGGGTCTTTCTGCAGGCAGCCAGGCTCTCTGGGAAGAGAAAGAACACAGTTACTTTATTCTAGCACCTAGCTCTGACCCTTACTACCATTTTGCCATGTTTGTTTACCAGAAAACTTTAGGCATTACATACTATAAAAATGCTACAAAAAAGCCCCAAGACATCTAGACATTTTCTTTTCGTATATGCATTATATGGATATTATAAAATGTAGGCCAATTAGCAATAATTTTTTTCAGCTATTATCCTGTCTTAAGAAGTGGTACAAGCCGGGTGCCAGTGGCTCTCACACCTGTAATCCTAGCTACTCAGGAGGCTGAGATCTGAGGATCGTGGTTCAAAGCCAGCGTGGGCAGGAAAGTCCTTGAGACTCTTAGCTCCAATTAACCACCAGAAACCCAGAAGTGGCGCTGTGGCTCAAGTGGTAGAGCGCTTGCCTTGAGCTGAAGAGCTGAGGGACAGCGCCCAGGCCCAGAGTTCAAGCCCCATGACCAACCAAAAAAAAAAAAAAATTAAAACATGTCTCCTGAAATCCTGGGTACTTTGCAGTTGATAGCCTCTTGGTTTTCCACTGTGTTTGGGCTTAGATTGGCAAGCTCCAAAGCTGTCTTATTTTCTCCTTTGCCAGCTTGTCATTTTCTTCTTCCCGGACAGCCCCTACCCTTCACTGCCCAG